AACCATGTTTTCGGATGTTAGGTAACCCATAGTGCAGGACTGTGAACTCTGAGCGAGTCCAGGTGGAAAGTGTTGGTTGAGCAGCTAGGAAATTAAATTGGGATCTACGAAACCATGTTTTCGGATGTTAGGTAACCCATAGTGCAGGACTGTGAACGCTGAGCGAGTCCAGGTGGAAAGTGTTGGTTGAGCAGCTAGGAAATTAAATTGGGATCTCGGAAGGTTCAATGCTTAGTAAAGGACATGCTGGCCCTTAAAGACGGCTCTAGCCCTTCCCTGACAAAGCTTAACATGAGCTGCAAAGTGCTCAAGTCAATCTGTAAGTATATGAACTGCCTGTCCACACACACTAAACATTCGACAACATAACAGTGTTCGGCATCCAGTGATGATTATTAGATATGCCAAAAAACAGGAAACGGGACTCAGAATGAGGGGGAAAAATCTCTCTAGAAACAGGCCTAGAAGTGACAGAGATTAACACACAGGGCCCTGCAGCAGCTATTGTAAGTACGTTCAAGGATGTAAAGGGAAACGTGAGTACAATGAAGAGAGAAACCCAATAAAAAAGGAAGCTCAAGAGCTGAAAAATGAAATACTCAGAATGAAAAATTCACTGGTTGGGGATAGAAGTAGATGAGATTCTGAAGAAAAAGAGCAGTAGAACGTCAAAGCAGAGTAGTGGAAACTAAACAAAATGACAAAAAACCAGGAGCTAAATCACACAGTGCCCCTACAGGTCACTTTAAGGTTTTGGCTTCTACTCTGGGTAACCTGGACACCACTGGAGAGTTTTTGATGAAGGAAGTGATACCATCTGATTTGCCTTTGAATGGAATCAATCTGGCTGCTCTGTGGAGAACGGACTGCAGAGGGGAAGGCTAGACACAGGTGGCCTGTTAAGTGAATGCTAGTAATATTCTGAGTGAGAAATGATGGCGGCTTAATCCAGGTTAACATCAGGGCAATGAGAAATGGTTGAAATCTGGGATATACTTTGTAGGTTCTTTTTTTTAGGTAAGCTGTACACCCATTGTGGAGCTCGAACTCATGACCCCAAGATCAAGCATCCCATGCTCTACTGATTGAGCCAGCCAGGCACCCCCGGGGATATATTTTGATGGTAGAGCAGACAGGATTTTTTCATGCCCTGGATTTAGAATGAAGAGTGATGTCAAGTTGTATACACTGAGCCACTGACCATTTCTTAAGAGCAAGAACTATGTATCAGTTAGGACTGTGTTTAGGTATGTATAACAAAAATCCCAATGACATAAACAAATAGAGGCTTATTCATTTCACATGGCTGGTTAGACCAATATTGGTCCACTACTCAAGGTTACCATCGATATCTCAGGCTCTTGCTATGGAGTTCCATGACTCCATACTTTAACAAATTGTACCTTTGCCCTTGTTCTTGCGTTTCATGGTCCCAAGGTGGCTGCTGTATGGTATCAGTATTCCAGGAAAGAAGAAATGGCAAAGGGACCAAAGGGACCCTGCCAGTGGAGTTTGTCCCTTTCTTACCCAAGAAAGCAAAAGCTTTCCTGGAAGCCACATCCAGCAAACTTCCCCTTATATTTCATTGCATCATGTAGCCAACCTTTGGAGAATGAGATTCTATGTGTGGTCTAGGCAAATTGCAATTCATTCTTTATGGCCAGAGTAGGAGGTCTTCTCTCCCTAGAGTCAAAAGATTTCTGCTGGTAGCTAAACGCATGAGGTTCTGTTAGCAGAATCAAAGGGGCATACTTCATGAAGAATGTTAGATTAGTGATTGACAATTTCTACCATTGACTGATTGCTTTTTGCAATTTTGTTACAAAACAACTTTCTCCCCCCTTCCCGTGTTTGGCGGGTGTATATAATAAACATGCACTGCCACCATGTTGGCATGATGGCATAGTGATTTGGAAAGACTTCATAAATAAGCTGCTTGAAAGAAAGACAGGAGAGACGTGAAGGGGGAAAGGGTGGGCGTGGTTGGTCTCAGATTGTTAAAAAAGAAAAACTGGTCAGTAAGAGGAGCAATGCACCGCAGATTTGTGAAGTGTGTAGAAAAGGGTAGGCCAGTTTGGCTGTCGGTTTGTCCATCTCATTCATTGTAGGTTATCTTGAGAAATGAGGGAAGCGCAGAGTGAAGAACCAGTACAGACTTGAGGGAGGGAAATGCATGTTCTATCAAAGCTGGCAGCAGAATCCCTTCTAGAGAACTTTTGTTGTTGTCATCAGCAAAGCACTTGCTGAAAAGTTAGGTCCCAGGATCTGGTTTAGAGAGCAACACATGACACAAAGAAAGCAAAATTGCTTTGCCAAACAAAGAAGAGTTTTGAGTTTTGGCTGGCCACACCAGAGGAGGGGTAAAGGATCCTGGGAATCGAAGAGGGAAGGGGAAAATTGAGACGGATGGGAGAGAAAGTGCCATGACTCTCAGCCAGCAGGCATTATACCCTGTCCCCTTTTTACAGGGAAGGAGTCCTGTAGCTTTCACATGGTAGAGCCAGGGTTTAAACACAGAAATTCAAAAGCCTGAAAAAAAAAATAACCCAAACCCAGAACCAAACAAAAGCCTGGTGCTGTCTCTACCTGCAGCCCCCCCCCCCCCCCAGCCGCCAGGGGGGAGCTCGGGTCTGAGCGGGAGGCAGTTGGTTGGTCATTCACAAACCCTCTGGTGTCTCCATCTATGGAAAGGCTTTGTAGCGAAGGCCCACCTCAGTCGTGAACTCCCGTGTCAGATGCTCTGGCAGGAAGCTCTACGACAACCTTGGGGAACAGGCAGTTTCCTCTGGTTAGCGCTGTGGGGGATGGTTCCACCTCCTTCCCCAGAACAAACCGGTAAACAACCTTCACCCCACCTTCCACCCCCAGGTCTCCAGCAGCCAGGTCTCTGTTACTAGGGCAACTGACACTTTCAATTTCCTGATAAGCAGGGGACTGGCATCTGGGCCCCCACAGAATAAGTACCAATCTGAATTTGGTTTCCTTTGTTTTTTTTTTTTTCCTCGTATATCACAAAAAGAAAAAAAAAAACGATAAAGCAAAAGCAAAACAAACAGTTTTAATTTCATAGCCCCATTCACCCTGGGAACCTGATGCTCATGGTCTCCCACATATTCACACCTTGATTGCTGCTCAGATGTCCCACCAGTGGGTACCAAGTACTGCTACGTTCCTCTTCCTCCTGGCAGCAAGCTCACTAGTGAGCTCCGTTATATACCCCACTGAAGTACACAGCGTAGTATTAGCTCAGATACTCCACTTATTCAAAACATTTTCACAACTAAAGTCTCCCCTGGGCTTTGCAAGAAGCCCACAGGTTATGTTGGGTGTGAAAACTCTGAAAGCTGAGATGGGTGCTTCCTTGGAGTCAAGTTCAGGTCTGTAGCACCGGGCAGCATGCCTGGGACACAGTGGATGCTCAGCAAAGGACATCTGTAGGGAGAGGTGTTGGAGTGACTGGTAAAGAGGAAGTGAGAAGAGGAGAAATGATGAAGTGGGCTTGGCCCTTCTCAGCTCTCAGTCAGGTCTGGTAAGGGCACCCGCCGAGGCTGAGGCTGACATTCACCCTTGAATCGGCATCTGATTTCAAGAATGCAAGCTCCGGAGGGCCCCGAGCTTGAGTGGCTGTACTCAGGAGAGTCCAGTTTTGGAACACACGTCGATTTGGTACCTATAGTTAAATAGACCCGGGGGCATCTATGTGAGTGTGTGTATCAGTCTGTACACACAACTATGTGCATCATCTCTTTAAGTACGACCGAGACAGGGCGCCTGGGTGGCTCGGTCATTAAGCGTCTGCCTTCAGCTCAGGTCATGATCCCAGGGTCCTGGGATCGAGCCCCGCATCGGGCTCCCTGCTCCGCGGGAAGCCTGCTTCTCCCTCTCCCACTCCCCCTGCTTGTGTTCCCTCTCTTACTGTGTCTCTCTCTGTCAAATAAATAAAATCTTAAAAAAAAAACAGTATGACCTAGACATAAGATGGAATAATATTCCCTGCAGGAGCAAAAGGGAAGAGAGCAGTCTCTGAGACCCAGGTGGGGCCATAGTTGTGAGGGTGATGCCAGTCCTGCCCCCAGCCTCTCTACCCAACCGTTACCTTTCTCTCTTCCCTCCAAGTCCCACCCACTGTGACTTTTCCCCTCCCTTCCCCCTTTCTTCACATGCTTGTCTTTCAAAGCCTTTCATCATTTCCTGAGCTTCCGCCACAATGGCCATGGTCACAGTTGTTCAGCACAGCTCCTTCCTGGGCTGGGCAGGGGCGGAGGAGGGGAACTGTGGGGGCATGGAAGTCATACCTTCCTGGGCTTTGTTATTAGGGTGAATGTGGACAGCTGGGTGTTGATGTCAAATCAGTCAATAAACGAATCTTTACTGATTTCCATGTCCTAGGGTTGTGCTAAGTGCTCACTGCTCTCTCTGTTGTCTTTGCCTATTAAGTGAATAAAAGGGAAAAAAATAGATTATTCATCAGATCCCTTCACTGGGCTGAAGACGGGCTTGGACAAAGTCATCTTGGGTTCTGATCCTGACAGCCCCTAACTAGTTGCATGGTGACAAGACTTCCCACCATCCCCCCACCCCACACCCCTCCACCCCACCCTCTACCCCTGCCGGGAAGGCCAGCGACTGGCAGACTCTCATTTTCTCAAGGCGGGGATTTTCCTATCGCCGAGGCCGTGCCCACTGAGGTGCCAGCAAGAGAAAGGGACAGCCTGGAGCATAGGAATGCCTCAGACCCCGTCCCTTCCGACTGGACATTCTACAGTTCTAGGCTGCTTCTGTCAATAAAGGACCAGAATACGGTGCTTAATGAGACAAGTGAGAGGCAGGCGGACAGGGCCTATGGAATTCAGGCAGGCAGTAGAAATATTTCACTGCAATTCAGACAGGAAGAGTTTGGATTCAAATTAGTCAATTGAAATTCATGTGGAAGACATCTTGGTAAAAGTGTTATAAAGGGTTACCATTCAAAAAATCAAAACAGTGATAGAAGATGCACTATATTCTGAGAAAGGCATAGGATTGAGAAGTCTTCATGACTCTAAGAAGGGTTCAGCTGTTAGGGTAGGGCTTATCTAGAATGATCTTGGAATTATTGTGCAAGCCTTGTTTCCCCATCCAGAGTCTCAGACCAAACCCTGACTCTGAAATGTCAGTTACTGCTGTCATGACACTGAGGTGGTTTTTAAGTTGGTCAGATGAGAAAAATATGTAGTTCTGGGAAATTGTACGAAGAAGCAGGGGAGACAATGAAGAAATGAATACAGAATCAGTACCTTCATAAATTGTGTTCATTCAGGGAAAGTAATTTGTCTTTGAGGTGCTGCTTTGGTTATGCTCTGTCTGCTTACCACATTTAGCAGGCTGATATGTTTGATTTATAAGACTTGTTCACCTGCTTGGAAAGATTGCGTTTATTGGATCAGAAGTTTGGAAGCATTGGAGAAAATCAGGTATTTGTCATTTCTAATTATAGGTAGAAATGTCTAACGATCTTTTTTTTTAAAATTTTTTATTGTTATGTTAATCACCATATATTACATCATTTGTTTTGGTGTAGTGTTCCATGATTCATTGTTTGTTCATAACACCCAGTGCTCCATGCAGAATGTGCCCTCTTTAATACCCATCACCAGGCTAACCCATCCCCCCACCCTCCTCCCCTCTAGAACCCTCAGTTTGTTTTTCAGAGTCCATCATCTCCCCTGGTTCGTCTCCCCCTCTGACTTACTCCCCTTCATTCTTCTTCTCCTGCTATCTTCTTCTTTTTCTTTTTACTTAAAATATGTTGCGTTATTTGTTTCAGAAGTACAGATCTGTGATTCAACAGTCTTGCACAATTCACAGCGCTCACCGTAGCACATACCCTCCCCAATGTCTATCACCCAGCCACGCCATTCCTCCCACCCCCCACCACTCCAGCAACCCTCAGTTTGTTCCTGAGATTAAGAATTCCTCATATCAGTGAGGTCATATGATACATGTCTTTCTCTGATTGACATATTTCACTCAGCATAACACCCTCCAGTTCCATCCACGTCATTGCAAATGGCAAGATCTCATTCCTTTTGATGGCTGCATAATATTCCATTGTGTATATATACCACCTCTTCTTTATCCATTCATCTGTCGATGGACATTTTGGCTCTTTCCACAGTTTGGCTATTGTGGACATTGCTGCTATAAACATTGGGGTGGACGTACCCCTTCAGGTCCCTACATTTGTATCTTTGGGGTAAATACCCAGTAGTGCAATTGCTGGATCGAATGGTAGCTCTAATTTCAACTGTTTGAGGAACCTCCATACTGTTTTCCAGAGGGGTTGCACCAGCTTGCATTCCCACCAACAGTGTAGGAGGGTTCCCCTTTCTCCACATCCCCACCAACATCTGTCGTTTCCTGACTTGTTTAATTTTAGCCATTCTGACTGGTGTGAGGTGGTATCTCATGGAGGTTTTGATTTGGATTTCCCTGATGCCGAGCGATGTTGAGCACTTTTTCATGTGCCTGCTGGCCATTTGGATGTCTTCTTTGGAAAAATGTCTGTTCATGTCTTCTGCCCATTTCTTGATTGGATTATTTGTTCTTTGGGTGTTGAGTTGGATAAGTTCTTTATAGATTTTGGATACTAGCCCTTTATCTGATATGTCATTTGCAAATATTTTCTCCCATTCTGTCAGTTGTCTTTTGGTTTTGTGGACTGTTTCTTTTGCTGTGCAAAAGCTTTTTATCTTGATGAAATCCCAATAGTTCATTTTTGCCCTGGCTTCCCGTGCCTTTGGTGATGTTTCTAGGAAGAAGTTGCTGCGGCTGAGGTTGAAGAGGTTGCTACCTGTGTTCTCCTTTAGGATTTTGATAGACTCCTGTCTCACGTTTAGGTCTTTCAACCATTTGGAGTCTATTTTTGTGTGTGGTGTAAGGAAACGGTCCAGTTTCATTCTTCTGCATGTGGCTGTCCGATTTTCCCAACACCATTTGTTGAAGAGACTGTCTTTTTTCCATTGGACATTCTTTCCTGCTTTGTCAAAGATAAGTTGATCATAGAGTTGAGGGTCCATTTCTGGGCTCTCGATTCTGTTCCATTGATCTATGTGTCTGTTTTTGAGCCAGTACCATACTGTCTTGATGATGACAGCTTTGTAATAGAACTGGAAGTCCGGAATTGTGATGCCGCCAGCTTTGCTTTTCTTTTTCAATATTCCTCTGGCTATTCGGGGTCTCTTCTGGTTCCATACAAATTTTAGGATTATTTGTTCCATTTCTTTGAAAAAGGTGGTTGGTATTTTGATGGGGATTGCATTGAATGTGTAGATTGCTCTAGGTAGCATTGACATCTTCACAATGTTGGTTCTCCCAGTCCATGAGCATGGAACGTTTTTCCATTTCTTTGTGTCTTCTTCAATTTCTTTCCTGAGTATTTTATAGTTTTCTGAGTACAGATCCTTTGCCTCTTTCGTTAAATTTATTCCTAGGTATCTTATGGTTTTGGGTGCAATTGTGAATGGGATCGACTCCTTGATTTGTCTCTCTTCTGTCTTGTTGTTGGTGTATAGGAATGCCACTGATTTCTGTGCATTGATTTTATAGCCTGCTACTTGACTGAATTCCTGTATGAGTTCTAGCAGTTTTGGGGTGGAGTCTTTTGGGTTTTCCACATAGAGTATCATATCATCTGCAAAGAGTGAGAGTTTGACTTCCTCTTTGCCGATTTGGATGCCTTTGATTTCTTTTTGGTGTCTGATTGCTGTGGCTAGGACTTCTAATACTATGTTGAATAGCAGTGGTGAGAGTGGACATCCCTGCCGCGTTCCTGACCTTAGGGGAAAATCTCAGCTTTTCCCCATTGAGAATGATATTAGCTGTGGGTTTTTCATAGATGGCTTTTATGATATTGAGGTATGTACCCTCTATCCCTATACTCTGAAAAGTTTTGATCAAGAAAGGATGCTGTACTTTGTCAAATGCTTTTTCTGCATCTATTGAGAGGATCATATGATTCTTGTTCTTTCTTTTGTTAATGTATTGTATCACGTTGATTGATTTGCGGATGTTGAACCAACCTTGCAGCCCAGGGATAAATCCCACTTGGTCATGGTGAATAATCCTTTTAATGTACTGTTGGATCCTATTGGCTAGTATTTTGGTGAGAATTTTTGCATCCATGTTCATCAAGGATATTGGTCTGTAATTCTCCTTTTTG